GTCTGAATGGAATAGAGGACATGAGGCATCAAGAAAGGCAAGGGCTGGTGAGTCCAAAGGCCTCGTCCCACCCATGCCCCAAACATCTGTTCCTGTAAGCTGTACAATACAGGAAGCTGAAAATACAGATTGCTGAGAGCATCCAACCTCTATTTAAGTAGAGGTGCAGCCTACAGATGGCCAGTTTTGATAGGAAAAAAAAATGGGCATTTCAAGTCCTAATTATCTTTTTGTCCCAAAGCCCAAGGATACCTAAGGAAAGAGTTACTGGTAGAACATTGAAATATATTTCCTTTCCCAGACCGAGTGGTGGTGGTTTAAGTCAGAAGAAGACTGTGAATGTAAAGATGTTGCTCTGTGCTCCAGTGAGAGCCAAGGATGATAGGAAGATTTGTTCTATAGTGTGTGTAGGGGCAGGTGATGAGGCAAATCCAGGGTTAGTGGGTGGCAAGTAGGGTTTGGGAAGGTTTGGGAAGGGCACTGACCTCAGGCCGAGTGTGCCAACTGTGCCTCAAAGGGATGCCATGACTTTGGCTTTACTTACGTCAGTGTAACAAGGTTTTCTCTTGCTGCTGCTGTTGCTGCCCAAGTCCCTGGTTGTGTTGTGAGCCGTCCTGGTAAAACATAGCTGTGTGCCACTTCCCCTTTCCCTCTTCCCACCCCCACCCCGCTCACCCCACTTTGAGCCTAAAGCCCAGAGAAAACTGTGCCTGCATGGTCTCCACCTGCTGCTACTTGAATAAGGCCCAAGCCCAGGTTGACATGGCTGCAGGCCAGGCCTTAGCAGGACGCAGGATACCATTTCCCATGCTGTTAGGGTACCCCTGCAAAGCTTGGGAAACTGTCTCATTCCTTTCTCCCAGCCTCCATGTTGTCTCTGTCTGTGTTTCGTGGAGAAATATATGGAGGCAATAAATGGGTCAGGTGTACAGTCCATGTGGAACTACTGGGGGGAGATGAAGGATCTATTTACGAATCAATCGCTCATCCTTAGTATTGGCATAAAATGCTTCTGAGGGTGTGTGTGTGTGTGTGTGTGTGTGTGCGCGCGCGCGCACGCACGCATGCACGTGCACGGGAGACGGAGGCGGCTGGGAGCCCTGTGAGAGCTGCTATTTCTCTCGCACCCCCCACTCCGGGAGGTGGGGAAGCTGCTGTGTGTGGATCAGCTGCTCCCAACCTCTTTTGCCTCAGTCTCTTCTGTATTTTCTCCTCCTCCTCATTTGTCTTCTTTGCCCTTGACTAATTCATTCTCATTTATCTCTTCCTCCTCATCTTTTTTCCCAGCATCAATTCCAGTGCTTTTCCCTGGCTGTGAGAAGGGAGTGTTTAACTGTGTGTGTGTGTCCATCCGTGTACACATGAACACTCTTCATGCAGGGAAGGGAAACCTGTTGCTTTGGGGACAGGCTTTGTTTTCTCTTACGGTATGTTTCCCAATAATGCACCCCACTCCCATTTTTGACTCTCCTTTTTCCCACGGGCAAGGCTGCGGATTAAGAAAGGCATGGGGCATTATAGGAATCTCCAGGGAACATTGTATGTTCTTGGGACCCATCTCCCTGGTCCTTCCCAACCTGTTCACTCCTGATGTGGAAGCTTCTGCTCCTTGTTCATCCTCACCCAGCCTGCTCGCTCACCCCCAACACAGCCAGGCATGGTCAGGCACCTGTCTAGAACTAATGCTGTGTGGTGAACTCACTCCCTGCCTTTCAGTGTGTTGGTGCCCCAGGGAGCCAAGCTGCTGGGGAAAGCTCATGTGGCACTCAGCCGTTCCATTTTGTCGACGAAAAAAGAGGGGAGAAGCTGGCAGAAAGCAAAGGCTTTTGCTGCTGGGTGAGTGTAGCAGCTATTTTTAGTGTCCAAGCCTTTGCTTTTCCATTTGGCTATGCTTTTTTAGCACAGTGCCGGTCCAGCAGGGCTGTTTTCCTTTATGGCTCCAGATGTCCTTAGGGAAAGTTTCCGTCTGCCTCTGAGAAGGTGTGGGCTGGGCAGGGGGGTAATAACTTCTGAGAATGGGTTCAGACAGGGCTTTGGGTCCCACTGCAGTCCTGTTATAGGACCAATTTCCTGTGGTGGAATGTGGAGTATGGCAGGAAGAGCAAAGAGAAAAGGTAAATACCATACTCTTCAGAGATGTTCCCCTATAACGAACACAGTCAAGCCTCTATTGAGTAAACTGTCTAGTAAGGTGTATTAGGGCCGAGTGACCAACACACAAGCCTTTTATAAGGGTCTGGACTAATGCTGACATGTCCTGACTTTTTCTAAGACTTCTTAAAAATGTTTAGCTTGTTTCATTATGTTTTTATTTTTGCCCTTCTTTCTAGATCATTTGCCAATTTTTTTTAAAGTACACGTGTTTCTCGCTTTTTTTTTTTTTAATGTTTCTATTTAAATTCCAGTTAGTGAACATAGAGTGTAATATTAGTTTCAGGTATATAGTACATATAGTGATTCAGCAATTTGGATTAAGTTCTCTTGACTGCCACTCTAGTGTACTGACCAAAATTGTTTCACTAAGAAACCCATTAAGCAGTAACTCCCCTGGTAACCTGTGATCTACTTTCTGTCTCTCTGAATTTGCCTGCTGAAGAGAATTCATTTAAGTAGATTCATAGCAATATCTTTTCTTTTGTGTCTAGCTTATTTCACTTGGCATATAACGTTTTCAAGGTTGATTCATGTTGAAGCATGTATCAGAATTTCATTCTTTTTATGACTAAATACTCCATTGTATGTATATACAACATTTAAAAAACTCTGTCTGTTGATGGATATTGGGGTTATTCCTACCTTTTGGCTATTGTGAATAATGCTGCTATGAACATTCACATGGAACTACCTGTTTGAGTCACTGTTTTCAGATCTGTTGTGTGGAATAAATACCTAGGGGTGGAATTACTGGATCATAAGGTAATTCTGTGTTTTGCTTTTTGAGGGACTGCTAAACTTTGTTCCACAGCATTTTACATTCCCACCGGCAATGTATAAAGGTTCCAGTTTGTCTGCATCCTTGTTAATATAGGTTATTTTCCTTTTTTAAAAAAATTAAAGCCATCATAGTGGATGTGAAGTAGTAAATCAATGTGGCTTTGATTTGCATTTCCTTGATGATTAATGATGTTGAGAATATTTTCATGTCCCTATTGGCATTTGTCTATCTTCTTTAGAGAAATGTCTGTTCAAGTCCTTTGCCTGTTTTTAATTTGGGTTGCTTGTTTTTTTGTTGTTGAGTTGTAGGAGTTGTTGATATATTCTGGTTATTAAACCTTATCAGATAGGTGATTTGCAAGTATTTTCTCCCATTTTGTTGGTTGTCTTTTCACTCTCTTGATAATGTCTTTTGTGGCACAAAAGTTCTAAAATATCTATGGAGCTCAATTTACCTATTTTTTTAAATCACCTGTGGTTTTGGTGTCCTTTTTAGGAAATTAGTGCCAAATCTAAGGTTACGAAGATTTTCTATATGTTTTGTTTTTTTCTAAAAGTTTAGCTCTTAAATTTAGGTCTTTTATTTATTTATTTTTTAAAGATTTTGTTTATTTATTTGACAGACAGCGAGAGAGGGAACACAAGCAGGGGGAATGGGAGAGGGAGAAGCAGGCTTCCCGCCGAGCAGGGAGCCCAATGTGGGGCTCGATCCCAGGACCCTGGGATCATGACCTGAGCCAAAGGCAGATGCTTAACGACTGAGCCACCCAGGCGCCCTGGTCTTTGATCTATTTTGAATTAAGTTTTGTATGTGGTGTAAGGGAAGAGTCCATCTCATCTTTTGCATGTGGCTGTTTACTTGTCTCAGAACAGTTTGTTGAAGAGATTGTTTTTTCCCCATGGAGTGGTATTGGCACCCTTGTTGAAAATAAGTTGACCATACATGATTATTTCTGGGTCCTCAATTCTATTCCATTGGTCCTTATGTCTGTCCTTAAGGCTGTACCACACTGTTGTGATAACTGTAGCTTTGTAGTAAGTTTTGAAATCAGGAAGTACAAGTCTTCTAACTTTGTTCTTTTTTTCCAAGATCTTTTTAGCTGTTCTGGGTCCCTTGAAATTCCATATGTATTTTAGGATGGGTTTCTCCACTTCTGTAACAGCATTGGTATTTTGATAGAGATTGCATTGAATCGGCGTATTGCCTTGGGTAGTATTGTCATCTTAACAATATTAAGTCACTAATCCATGAACATGGGATATCCTTTTATCCTTTTTTAATTTTCACGGGTACTAGGGCCTGTGCTTCAGGCCCTCCCCTGGCCTCCCAAAATTGTTTGGCCATTTGAAAAGCAATGTGTAAGGTTTTGTGGCTTGGGAATATTGAACTTTGCTCGTTGTTGGGATACTGATGGCATCTTTCTTCAGGTATAACAGTGAGCATGGTTTAGAAGTGAATGATTATGAAGGCTTATGAGGAGTTGGGCTCAGGTGTGTTCACACACAAATAAATTGGTTAGTTTCTTTCTCTCACTGTCATAGCCAATACCACCCTGTACAACCTGACAAGTTGATAATGAGGAAGGAAGGAACCACAGCTGTTGTATCTCATGTAAGAGTCCTCCTTGGCTCTATGCTACCAACCAAGGCATATCTGCCCATGAGTGGCTGAACTCCTTATGGGAGATGGAGGCTTCCTTTAGATCTATTTTTTGTTTCTTTAAGATTTTATTTATTTGACAGAGAGAGACACAGTGAGAGAGGGAACACAAGCAGGGGGAGTGGGAGAGGGAGAAGCAGGCTTCCCGTGGAGCAGGGAGCCCAATGTGGGGCTCGATCCCAGGACCCTGGGATCATGACCTGAGCCGAAGGCAGATGCTTAACAACTGAGCCACCCAGGCACCCCAGCTTCCTTTAGGTCTTATCCTGTGGTAGAAGACCTTTGATACCTCTATGCGGAAAATGTCTGTTGTCCATTGAACAAGTGACATCTTAGGAATCACAGTGCTGGGGGATCAGGCACCAGATTCCTGTTGACCTTCTGTTTTCTTTTTTATTTTCCTCAGATCTGTATCTATGGCTCTCCAGGACCTGCCCCCTTCTAGGATGGCTCTTCTGGGAATGCTGCTTGGGCTGCTGATGGCTTCCTGCTTCACCTTCTGCCTCAGTCATCAGAACCCGGTAAATATCTTAGCACAAATAGAAGAATCCCTGTAAGGTCCAAGAAAGCCTCCATGCCATCAAGGCTTCTGTGGGAGTAGGGTGAGCTTTTATTTTTCTTACAGGAATGTGGGCAGCACTGGATCAGGGTATATGGGTACTTCTCCAACCTCCCCCCCCACCCCCCACCAACCCCACACCTTACTCCTCTGGCCTCTGTTTAAAGCTCATAGTATAGTTTCCCTTTGGAGAAAATATGATGATGATGATGATGATACAATAATAATATCAATAATGATGAATTTACCATGTACCAAGTGGTTTATTAAGTGCTTTATGTGTATTCTCATTTAATCCCCTCAACAACCCTACAAAGTAGACAACTACAGTTATTATCCTTATTTTGAGGAGGATCTCGAGGCTCAGAGACATTAAGTAACTTGGCCAGGATCATTCAGCTAGTTTGTGGCAGAATTGGGAAGGTCAGGATTCTCCCCAAGAGCTGGTTGCCTGTGTCTTGAGCACCAAGTAAGCCTCTGCTTCTTCTACTCCTGTCTTCCTTGTGCTTTCTCCGTCTGTCTCTCTCTGTGTTCTCTTTCCTTCTGTCCTTTTCTCCCTGTTCATTCCAGGCCTCTCTTCATTAAGCTAGACCTAACTGCTCAGGGTTTCTGTCACTGCCACAGGCAGGAGTGGAATGACCGAGAAGGCTCTGAGCTTGGCCTGGCTGCAGCACGCCAAGGCTCCTGGCCCTGTTTCCCTGGCTGGCCCTAGCTACAGCCTGCCCTTGACCAGCTCCCAATGCCCCCTTGACAGTCAAGAGAAGCCTTGACTGTCAGCTTTCTGACAGTTTCGCCCTCCCCTGGCCACCTTCCCCAACCCCAGGGGCTCCTAAATGTTGGGTAAGTGCTGCAGGCTTTGGAGCAGGAGGGCCTTGAAGTGCAAATGACAATTGTGATGAATTTAATAACAATCCAGCTTAGCTGAGGTTCACCTCTGGCTCATGGCAAGCTTCCACCTTCTCTCTAAAGTCATTTGTTTTCTCTCTGCCTTTCTCCCCACTTTGTGGAGCAGAAGAGAAAGTGCAGTTAGGAGTCACGAATTCTTTTGAGCTTTTAGCGTTCTCTAAGATCTTACTGGTGCTGGGGTTTTTTTGTTGTTGTTTTTTGTGGGTTTTTTTTTTTTTTTTGGCCTTTTCCTCAAGGATAATGAGGATGAGATCCCATTGGCCCCTGAGGGTGGGACTGGTCACAGCATGAGTTAGGGTCTGTCCTTGGCATAGCCTCGGCCAGAAAAGCACACAATTGTCTCAAGGGATCAGAGCTACTTCCCGTCCCCCTGCCCCAACCTGCAGCTCATCAGGATCTGGTGTTCCCCATCATGAGCTTTAGCAGATGCACAATTAACAAAAACGTGCTGATGAATTTGCTTAAGGACTGTGTGTTAGTAAGTCCCTTTTGGATAATGGTCCAACCAAATAGATGAGTTTTCAGAGCCATAATTATTCTGGCCCATTTATATTAGCTCTATTGAGTCTAGTCTCAGAAAAATGTTAATACTGACTTTCATCAACAGAAGCTACTTTTATCCTTATGTCTGTTCCTAAGCTATATCCATTTGTCATAATCTTTCATCATGTGCTAAGCACAAGTAGGAGTTGAAGCATCTTTTCTCTCATACCATAAAAATTGCTGCCCTGTTGGCATTTAAAATCCAAATTATGCAGCCAGCCACCTTCACAACAGTGAAAATGGGTGGTGGGGGAGATGGGGGCGGTTATGATCCTTTCTTCAGAGCCTGGAGTCCAGGCAAGAGATCCTGGTGGCCTGGACTTGTCCTCTCCAAGGGCTTTTGTGCAGGTTAATGGCCACCCAGGAAAGGGTATGTGTATCAGGGTATGAGGTGGAGCCAGCCACCTTTCCTGGATTCTGTTGTCCTATCTCTCTGGGGTGCCACAGCTTAGGAGCAGTGTGGATGCTGAAGGGGTGTGGTTGTGTGGTATCCTGGACTTCAGGAAGGTAGTGAGCGATGTGGAAGGTAGTGGGACCAGTGGAAGGAGTGCAGACCCTTGGTAAGTTCCCTTTTGCCACCTACGTTGGCAGTTTGTCCATTTCTGAGTTTTGTTTCCTCATCCAGAAAATAGGGTTGATCCTTTCTGTTAAGATTTCAGTGTAGATGAAATGTGATTACATATATAGAGCACCTAGCATTGGGACTGGCAGAATATGGTCAATAAATGTCAGCTGTTATTTTTAGTAAGGGGGTGGCTGCTTTTATGGTTTAATGTAGGGCTCTGTCAGGTAGGGGTCCTGTCCCAGAATGTTGCCCTGGCAGTTTGTCTCTGTCACAGCATCAGTCAACTTACCATTAGAGATTCATTCATTCTCCTGGATCTTGAAGGCTTTGGTCTTTAAGAATCTCTTATTCAGATACAAGTGCAAGGAAGTGAGACATGGTAAGCTGTTGTCAGCTAACACCTTAGCTGGAATGTCTTGCCAGTCAGTTGAGAAGAAATTGGTATTTGGAGTGATGGTGGCAGGGAAAAGAGAGTGCTGAGGTTTCAGCATGGAATGGAGCCCCGAGAAGCCAGCTGAGAGGGCACGAGATGTGGGGTTTACTTGAGAGTTGACCAAGGGATGGCTGGCTTCTGTCACCTCTTGGTCTTTATCTCCTGTTAAGGACACAGGACACACTGCCCAAGCTCAGAGAGGCTAGTCTTGCTTGTCCTTTCTCTGGGACTGTGGTTTTTTTACTTGGTTCATGAAAGTCTTCCCTTTCCCCTGGGAGTGGGGGATATGCTGGAAGACATGCTAGGGTGATCTCCCTACCCCCCCTACCCCTTCATTCCCTCAGCATGCAGGGCATAGCCATTAGGACACATGACTAAGAACAGAAACACGGAAGGGAGTCCAAATTCCTGCATGGGCTTTGGAGCCAGGCAGGCCTGACTTAAATCTCTGCTCTGCTTTTCTTAGCAGTGTGATTTTTTGCACAGGCCCCGTACCTCTCCTCGTCTGTAAAATGGGAATGAAAGTGTGTGCTTCACAGATGAAACTTGGCTGAGTTGTGAGGCATGGAAGGCACTTTATAGCCTGGAGCTACGGTTGGTAGCTGCTGTTACCATTACAGCCTCATGCCCCGTGACCTGCTTTTTCTCAGAACCTTTTCTGGAAGGTCCCTTTTGAACCAACTGACACCCTCAGTGCTTGTCAGATGTGATTTGGGCAATAGTCCAAAGTCACTCAGAGTTAGATTTGGTGAATAGGGTGAGCTGATCAGAGGAGCACCAATTTTCTATCACCCGCACTAAAGACTGATTTGTACTGTAAAATAATGGCAGATCATGTGTGTGCGTGCGTGCGTGTGTGTAGCTTAAAATCGGGTTCAGAGGTGACACCAAGCGGAAGCTCAAAAAACGTTTGGAGCAGTGGCGGGATTATTAGCTCCTCTAGGGCTTGAGGCATGTGGCTCAGGGGTTTATCAGTCTCCTTCTTGAATTTACTCTATTGACCTTAAAAGAAATCTAGGAAAAGAGGCTTTCTCAGCCTCTAGTCAAGAGAATGAACACGGGCTTAGCTTAGAGTTTGAAGGGCTTTCTGCCATGTTTGCATCATCACCATTCCTGTTGCCTCTTTCTGCTTCTCTTGGTGATGAGGATTTGGTTGGTTACTTGCTTACAGCCACACCTGCCAGGAGTTACCTGGCTAATAGACTAAAACAAGAGCTGCAGTTTAAAGCTTAGAGATGTTTAGTTTGGCCCTCTTAGTGTTCTAAAATAAGAAAAGTTGACGTAAAAATCTGTTTCTCTGTTTTCTTTTTTTCATGGACCAGCTGAGTAGCAGCTGTGTTCCTTAGTCAAGGCAGGAGGGCTTCAGTTTTCACAGCACAAGCACTCCCCATTGTTGGACACCCGGCCGTCCTTGGCCCCTTGAGGCCTTTGACCCACACACTTTGGAGGTAAATTTTATTAACATTCCCCTAGTCCCATGGTCCAGTGTATGGTGCTTATGGCAGAGGCTGACCAGCATGGATGGGCCCTGGATTACATAGGTTTTGGTTATTTTGTGGACAAGGTAGTCTTTGTTCTGGAATGTGGGACTACTCCCTGGGTTCTAGCGGGCATGGCTTCTTTGGGCTTGCCTCAGTGCAAGGCATCCAGAACACGTACCTGCCTGTGGAGAGACTTGTTCCTTCTTTCCTTTGTTCTTGGATGACAGTAAACTAAGTCCTGTGCTGGGCATGGGAGCACGCTGGTGAAAGAGACTGACACAGAGCCTGCTCTTAGGAAATAACAGCTTTTGGCCAATGTCTCCTGCCATTCTGTCTTTCTTTTAGTCCCACAAGCATGGCTGCTGTTCTGCTCCTAGTTTTCTTTTGAGCTCAGATCTGTGCAAACTCCATGTTGAAGGGGTATAAGAGGTTTGATGGGCCAGGCGGCTCAGGTGATCACAACCCAAACCTGACCTGCCTGAGTCCTGTCATAGTGTAGAGTCACTATTGGATGTCCTAGCACAGACTCGTCCAACCTGGAACCTATGGTTGTCTTTACAAGTAATAAGAGTAGTGCCTACCATGTACCCAGGGCTAGTGTTTTACAAGGTGGTGCCTCATCTCATGTATGAGCTAGATGTCGCTGTTACTTCCACTTCATAAATGTGAAAGCGGGCTTAGAAAATTAAGTAACTTTCCAAGAGTCACAAGAAACTAGGATTTGCACTTTTGGTTATGTGATGTGGAGCTTGAGTTCTTAACCACCATGCTGTAGTCTTTGCTTCTCATTACTTGTGACATGATTTGAGGGCTTCTTCTTGTCCAAGATCTCTTCCTTACCGGTCCTTAACAAGATCTGAAATCCTGCCATCTGAATTTCATGCCTGTATTTCTTGTTAAAATGTAAAAATCCTTGGAGGAGCTTTACATTGTCATGATCATTAACTAAACACCTTGCCCTTTCCTCTGACAGTTACTTAAAGGTCAGACCCTTAGGTACCGGGTAGCTGGGGATACCTATCTGGAGCTGGGGTGCTGCTTGGAAGAGATGTATTGCTACCTCCCATGCAAGGTTAGGATTGTCGGGAAACCAAAATGAGATGTGCGTAAAGGTCCTAGCTTGGGTTTGGGTTCATAGGAATTCACAAAATATGCTCTCTGTTATTAGAGGACGACTCCGGAGGGGTGAAGGCTGAAATAAACTCCCAGTGTGCTAGTGGGGGTTCCTCCTTGCTCTCCCAGAGCTCTGGAACCCTCTGTTTACAGTTTCCTGAGGCCCTACTGCTTTTATGCAAGAAAGGTTTAAAAATGGGACAGGAAGAATGGGAGCTCCGGGAAGGAGCAAAATGAATAATACTTTGTATTTATCTTGCATCTCTGTCTCCTGAGCTCAGAGTGCTCCACAGACACCATCTCATTAATCCTCCATGCTCTCCAGGGGGTGGAAGGAAACAGGTTTTAGGAATTGGTTTTCAGCTTTGGCTTCTTCCCCCCCTCAGCCCAGCTGGACTCCCAGCTTCCCACTTGCAGCCCTTTCACCGTGGATTGTAATGTCCCAGAAGGTCATTCATGCCCTATAGGCACCCTGGAGAATTGCCAGGCCCTTGTGCCCTGCTGGGCTGCATAGGAATCAGTCAGGCCTCAGCTGGCAGCTTTTGTATGTCTGGGTTGGCCATTTGAAGACCTGTTCTCCCATTCATATATGTATTTTTTCTTTTAAATACATCTTTTTTTATTTGTAAGAGCAACTAGGTGAGAGTTCCAGACATCACACAGTTTAGTAACATGGCAAGTAAAAAAAAGCAAAAGGCTCTTATTGTCTCCTTCTGCCAACCCCTCTCCCCAGGTTGTTCCCTTAACCCCCTTGAGATAGTAATGAACTGGGGCACCTGGGTGGCTCAGTTGGTTGAGAGTCTGCCTTCGGCTCAGGTCATGATCCCAGGGTCCTGGGATCAAGCCCCATGTCGGGTTTTCTGCTCAGCAGGGAGCCTGTTTCTCCCACTCCTCCGTGCTCGTGGTTTGTCGCTCTTTCTGTCAAATAAATAAATTAAATTAAATTAAAAGATAGTAATGAACTTTGTGGAGTTTTTCCTTACTCCTATATGCATAACACATGCTGTGTGTTCATTTAACCGTATCACCTCACTTATACTGGTTCTGAAGCTAACCTTGTGAAGGGTCCAAACAAGGCTGGGGAGGGGACAAGGGTATACCACCCAGGCCATGTTCTTTGTTTGCTTGGTGCCTAGCTATGGTGGGTCATGCCCTGTGTTTTCCTCTCTCTGAAGGAGTTTGCGCTCACCAGCCCAGAGAAGAGCAGCACCAAAGAAGCGGAGAGAAAGGAAACCACAGCAGAAGAGGAGCTGGACCCTGAGGTCCTGGAGGTGTTTCACCCGACCCATGAGTGGCAGGCCCTTCGGCCAGGTACCCAGCCCAGACCTCTCCCCGTGAAACATACTCTGAATTCTAAGTGTGTATGTCCTTCGTCCCATAGGGCTGCTTTGAAAGAGCAGTCACTCTGTGGCCCACTGGAGGGGAACAGTGCGGTCCTTCTGAGTGATGACTGATGCTGCAGGGCTGAGGGACCTTCATTTTCCAGCAGAACAGAGATTGTGGCATGTGAGTGCCCTGAAAGGGAGGCAGGTGGTGGGGGGCCGAGCTTTCCGAGCAAGTGATTGAAAACTTTCTTTCCTTGTGCTTCTGAAACACAGAAGAGGCAGTGACATGTGCCTCACTCTGCAAATGCTATTTTAGGCTCTGCTGCTCGGCTCAGTGCTGCTGAAATACTGTTCACGGGAGAGTACTGAGCACCGGTGTGGGGCAGGAGTGTTCTGTTGCTAAAGGAACCTGTGCCAAGAAACAGGGGCTAGTCCTGGCCTGGTTTCTAAATGGGCCATCCTCAGAAAGAGCAACTTTCGAGCCCTTTTATGAACCGGGGCCCATGGCTTAAAAGTAACCAGCATTTGTGGAGAGTTTACCATATTTAGGTACTGTGTTAGGTGCTTCATGTGCATAATCTTGTTCAGTCTTCACAACTGTAGGAACTGTGATTGTCTTCATTTTCCTATGAAAATACTGAGGCTCGTTGACTTGTGTCATTCAGCTGATGTATCCTAGGTCACTGACCACAGAGCCTAGACCCACCTTCCTCGCCTTTGTCCTTCTAGTCCCAGCCTTGTTGACTGTAGCCCCACTATGGGAACACTTGGGTCTGTTCTCAAGAGTGGGCTGTTTGCAGTCTGCACTGTGGCAAGGTGGAGGCCAGCCGTCGCAGCTGCCACCGTGGTTTCATCAGCTCCGAGCCAGTATTCATCACCGTGTCCTCACTGCCCCCATTGCTGCTGAGCTGGCAGGGGCAGCCTTCACCGTGCCAGCCAACTTTCTGGTAGCACTAGCACTCCTGCTGGGCTTGCAAACAGGTCGTTGGTGCCACTGAAGAGTGATGAAGCACCAAGCAAGTGAAGTAGGAGCCCAAGGCATGGGGTAGAGGGAGGTTTTAAGAACAGAGGTATGGGGACGCCCGGGTGGCTCAGTCGTTAAGCGTCTGCCTTCGGCTCAGGTCATGATCACAGGGTCCTGGGATCGAGCCCCACATCGGGCTCCCTGCTCACTGAGGAGCCTGCTTCTCCCTCTCCCACTCCCCCTGCTTGTGTTCCCTCTCTCACTGTGTCACTCTCTGTCAAATAAATAAAAATCTTTAAAAAAAAAAAAGAAAAAAAGAACAGCGGTATGGGGTTCAGCAGATCTGACCTTTGGCTGTCCTCCCACAGCTTCTGTGAGAACTGAGCTCCCTGAGCCTTGAGGACTGAAACAAGAGGGCTCACTAGATTGGGGCATGGAATATGTGGGCTGTTTCCACTGGTTTGATGGGGTTAAAAGTGCTTATACCACTTGTAAAGGCAAGTGCTTAGAGCAGATGAGGTCAATATCCTGTGACCCCTAATCCTAGCATCTCTTTTCCTGTGGCACCCTTCAAGGCCCTGGTCCGCATTGTAGAACAAGCCTGAAAGTTCTGACCTGGCAGTTGGGCTGCTGTGTTAATTTTAAACAAAAGAGCCCCTCTCTCTAACCTTGGGGAGGGAGAGCCAGAGCATTTGTGAGAAGGGCAAGCTGAGGGCTCTGAGTGCCTTCTGGAGAAGTAGAGTGGAACACTGATTTTCACATTTAACTTGATACCCCATTGACATCACCCTCTACCTTCTAGTTTCTCAAGAGCCTCTTAGAAAATCTGCACCAAATTACCTTGAAACTGCCCCAAAAGTGGTGTGCTGTGGTTGAGCACAGACACTCAGGCCCCACAGCTCAGGGGGCAAAGCAGTTCTGGTTCTAGTCATGCCTGCCCCATCCCAAGAGTGTTTTTGCCTATATTCACCCTCAAAGTGGGATGGGTGAGGGAAGGTTAGGTGAGAAGCTTATTCTGGCCTGAGTGTGTGATGTGGGGTGATTCAGAGTGTGCTGCTGTGGAGTCAGACCAGTGGAGGCAGAGAAGACTTTGTTGGGCCCGGTACAGGACTGAGGTGTTCTGTTTGTTACATTAAGAAGATTTTGTAGGTGTGTCTGTTGGCAGCAAATTGACCTCTCGGTGGTCTGTGTGGATAGCTGGCACTTGCCTTCAGTTAGAGTATAATATTTAATCCTCCACATCTGAGTGCTGCCTGGGAGCTTCCAACACAGCTACTTGAAGGAATGTCAAAAGGAATGTAACCAGTTGTAGGAACTTGTTTGATGGGTACATGATTGGGGAGGTAATATAATTTAGCAGTTAAGAGGACAGACTTTATTTATTTATTTATATTTATTTATTTTATTTATATTCATTTAATTAACAAATAGTGTATTAGTAGTTTCAGATGTAGAGTTCAGTGCTCCTCACATCATGTGCCCTCCTTAATGCCCATCACCCTGTTACCCCATCCCCCCACCCCCTTCCCCTCCAGCAACTCTATTTCCTATGATTAAGAGTCTCTTATGGTTGTTTCCCTCTCTGATTTCATCTTATTTTCTTTTTCCCTCCCTTCCTCTGTTTTCCTCTGTTTTGTTTCTCAAATTCCACATATGAGTGAGATCATATGATGATTGTCTTTCTCTGATTGACCTATTTCGCTTAGCATAATACCAAGAGGACAGACTTTAGACTCAGCCAGTCCTGGGTTCAAATCCTAGCTTTGCTATCTAGGGGATCTTGGGCGAGTCAGTGAATCCTTCTCCTCTTCAGTTTCCCCATTGGTGATATGGGGGAAATGTCCTGTCCTCTCTGTTGTGAGGATTTTTGACATCAAGATACTAGTCAGTATGCTCAGTTCTGATTTTAAATGGTACATTCTCCATTTGTGCTACTCCTTAAATTTGTGGAATTGGATGCCAGTAAGTGTGCATGAGTGTGTAGGCTTCCTGTCCTCTCTGGTCTTCGATGGTGAAGGGGACTTATGGTGAATGAGAGAGACTTCTGTGGTCCTCAAGTGCTCTCCCTCTCTCCCTCTGCAGAGATTTTTGATGAGGGAGCAGAAAGGGTTAGCACAGCTTTTTCTGCCTGGAAGTCAGGGACCTGGCACAAGGAAGATGATGGAGTATCTTTTGGGGACTTTTAAGAAAATGGCTAGTTTTTGTTGACAGGTATTATCCCCAGTTTGGTAACTTTTGTCCCCTCAGGTCTCTGAAGGGAGGACCTCAGCTCTCTTGTCCTCGGGCCTCCAAGGAGGGCATCCTGGGCTACATGGTCTGGGCTCATAGGAGGGTAGTTTTCCAGGCTGCCTGCTGTGGCCTGGAACACCAGGGGACCTATGCATGACTTTATGGGCCTTCCCGCCAGGCCAGGTGGGAATTGGGCCCCAGCCTTTCAGCCCTGGAGCAGCTGCAGGTCACTCTGCTGAAGTCTGCCCGCCTCTGTTATTACCGTCAGCATCTCCACCGTGAGCCGCTTGTTCCTGGAAGTGATTTTCCTGTCTCTCTCTGTCTTCTGGTTTATTTTGGGATCTGTCTCACCTTACGGAGGCACAGCAACCATTTGAGTGTGGATTCAGCATCAGCTGTTCACAAGCAAGCAGAGGAAAGCTGTTTGCTGGCAAGGTCCTATGGGTTCTGGGCAAGCAGTTCAGAAATTTGTTCTGGGGTGGAGGACCCCTGAGACCCAGGACTTTGTGCCTGTGTACTTGTTACTACAGGAAGCCAGTCACAGCCAAATGTGGTGGAGTCTCTCTGCTCCCTGGGCATTTCTGAGATTCTGCTTGTGCCAGGCACTATACTCGTAGCCGGAGATACAGGTGATACGTCACAGTTGCTGAGTGTTGATTGTGCCGGTGCTATAACTACCCTCATTTTTATAGACAGAACTGAGTCTTAGAAGTGACTTAGTCAAATGACCAATAAGTGGTAGAGTCAGAATTCAAAACAAGCTTTGGCCCCCAGCCTGAGCTCCTCACCACTGTACCATGCTCTCTTTTTGAGTAGCAAATGAGACATGACTCCTACCTTCCAGTAGCTTATAGTCTCACAGAGGATACAGAGACAGAAAAAGGCACTAGAGTGTTTTGGATGTTCTGGTGGAAGTGTCCTGTGCTCACTGAGGGCACAAAGGAGGGTGTGGGGAGGCTAGGGCCTCCTCTCCGTATTGTTGAGATCTCTGTGGAACAGTGAGTCAAATTTTATGAAGGTGAACTTCCAACCCCATGAAAATTCTCTTTTTTGAGCTGTATGTTCTTGGCCAGGTTGATGAGAATCTTTGAACCTTAGTTTCCTCATCTGAAAATAATCTGCTTCCCAGAGATGATGTGAGACTAAAACAAGATTAACATATATAAAATGTTTCACACAGGACTTGGCATCTAGGAAATAGTTAGTGGCTATAGTTGTCATTTAAAAAAAATACACCTCTCGGGCGCCTGGGTGGCTCAGTTGGTTAAGCGACTGCCTTCGGCTCAGGTCATGATCCTGGAGTCCCGGGATCGAGTCCCACATCGGGCTCCCTGCTCAGCGGGGAGTCTGCTTCTCCCTCTGACCCTCTTCCCTCTTGTGCTATCTCTCATTCTCTCTCTCTCTCTCAAATAAATAAAATCTTTAAAAATAAATAAATAAAAATAAAAAAAATACACCTCTCTTGCCTTCCTTGGGGACCTGAAGGAGCAGTGGAGGTTGATAAAGCAGCCTGAGCAAAGAGCCCTGTTGTCCTGCCCGTCAGCCAGTGCTGCTTGTTGGCCCCATGTGGGCTCAGGGAAGCTCAAACCTGGGGCTCCCTATTGACCTGAGCTGACTTTGAAGAGGAGGCTGTTAGAACCTCAGAAATATTGGCATCAGCACAAAGAGCCCACTTAATGGGAGCACGCAGGAAGCCTGTGCAGGAACATATTCGTGTGAGGGGGTTAAAAAAAAAAAAAAAAAAGGGGAAAGAAAAAAAATCCAAATCACCAACAACTGATGAGAGCAATCCA